ATGAATCAACATCGATATGCCCAAAACCATCTAAACTCATGCCAACACATAAACACACACACACTGTAACTAAGTCCCTATATATGTTTTTATTTTTAATTATTGTTCAATTTGTAAGAACTGTTATTAATAATAATATATTTCTTTTTTTTCGTGATTTAAAAGGAAGTTGATTATGAAACATTTGACATTTTGAAGCGAAAACAAAACTAAAGCGAAAATAAAACTAATGGTATTTATAAATGTATATCTATTAGAGCTCTCGATTGTGTTCGCACCATGATAAAAATACAGTAAGGTAGAACCGCTGAGAGGCACTTTTAAAATTCTTGACGTTTCCAAACAATTTAATTTTTAAATTTACTCACAAACTCACACACACAGTTTCATTTTCACTCTCAAGCAACAACAATTTCGAACAATTTCAATCTTTTATTTTCACTTTTATATGATTTTAAAATGTTGGCAAACTTCAAAAAAAAATCATGGCCGACAAATTGAGAGAACGGTTATACCTTGCTATGTTTTTATCATGGTTCGCACATTTTCAAACAGCCCGGGTATATGAGCAGCGAGTACTCGCACACTTGTTCAATGCTCATTACTCGAAAATTTTCGAGCATGAGCTCGAGCAATTCGAGTTTTTTCGAGTAATTTGAGCAATGTTTTTTTTATTATATTGACATTTTTGGTAGCAACTTTTAAATTTTTCAAATCATTGATATATAACGCAAAGATTGTTACATTAGTATTTAATAATATAACATGAATTAGAAAGCAGCTGCTGACAAATACAATTTACAAATTTTCTTTTGTTTATGAAATTGTTCAAAAATTCGAAAATTTTTAACAAACATTTGAGCAGTTGAGCAATGAACGAGTTTCGAGCGAGTATCGAGCTACTCGCATTGCTCGATACCCGGGTATCTAGAGCTCTAATATCTATAAATACTTAATATACATACACACATAATATAAAGATATATATATATATATATAATTAATAATAATTATACATACTATACATGTTTAAACGAA